CGCGCTTTAATAATTACATGTAAAGCATATGATAGTTACAGGCTCATAACTCTATAATATTTTATTAAATTGCTGGCTGGGGTATAACATTTTGAATGATAGTTGTATTTTATCTCCCTGCTTAATTTTTGCCGCCTGAGATTGAAGGATGAAATTATCAGTATTTTAATACCATTTCATTCCTTTATTATTATTTTTAAATTCACTTGCGTGAACATCGATAGCACGCACCATACGTGCACTCGAACGCTTTGCGTGCAACTCAGCGAGTTCAGCCTATTTTCTTTTTATAAGTAATGTATATAGATTGCGTGCATAGATTATGCAATACATGATTATATTACTGCATACATACGTGAATGTAATGTAGACTGAACACAATTACAATATGCGGTTATTTTTGATTTTTTACATAAATTCCGTAATATGTATACAAGAAAATGGGCGTCGTGGTGAAAAGTAGGGTTTAACTTTAAGTTAGTAGATGGTGTACTTACAGAGTACAGTTTGTGTACCATTCTTAGCTTTGACGAAATCAGTTAGGAATGTGCTGAAACTTTCGTATGGTTTCTCGTTTACGACAGGCAATTCCTTCTGAACAAAATGAAAGCAAGAAACGGCAACATCTTTCGGATTTCTGGTTACGTAGATAACCTGCAATATATAGTAAAACACAAATTAAGGACTGTTACAGATAGTTTCAGTAATAAATGGCGCCCTCATTCATAAATATAGTGAGTGGTTGGTCAAAATGATGAGTCGCGAGCAGCTATTGGCTAAGCTTGTTGTACATACATTCGAATGTTATAGGAACCATTGGAGCTAAAGGGATATTGGGAGGGTGTAGAAACTAATGTTTGCAATGTCTGCTTGTAAGATGCTCCTTTGTTGTCTTCAGAATGCAGCCTGATGTTTGTTGCTTTCATGGTTGTTCAATAATGGATACAATTTTTGTGGTGGGTGGAAGATGTGATGATTGGTTGAACAGATACGGTTCTAATCAAATTTCGAAATAATGGCTTTGTATTGTTACTGTGGTGGCGGAACAGGGAGGCAGAGGGCGCAGTCGCCCCCTCGAACAATATGCTGGGGCGTCGCCCCTCCAAAATCAAGCTGAAACCCTTTGTGTCATCAAAATTTGCCTGCCAAAATACAGGAAATAGCTTTTCAGAGAGTCTAGATTTCAATTTTTAAGGAGGAGCATGCTCCCGGACCCTCTAGTAAGGTCGCGGCTTGGGCACAAGGTTGGCGAGCAGATCTCGCCCCTTCATACAAAATTTGGTGCCGCCGCCTCTGTGTTATGCTTTTAAAATAAATTGAAATATAAGGATATGGATTGTAAAATATGATGGTGGAATAGTGTATAACAAAGCTGGTTTTCGATATAAATATCAAATAATTTGTATATAGTATAAATCAGGTATAATTGACCTTTTAATGTAATAGCTAGGGCATTTGAGATGGTGTATTTGTATGTGTTTTGTGATAATTTACCAATGAAAGTGTTTTGGCTTATGTGACTGTCAAATCTGCCATGTCATCCCTCTTTCTACTATTGTAACTGGCCTACGTTTTACTTGATGCAACTATGCACATTGGTGACTTTCATTAATTACATCTGTAATTGAATGGTTTAAATTACTATTAGGTAATACACATCATTTAATAAAAATACCTTTGGTTTCTTTTCTTCAATCTGTTTTGGTAAATACTTCGCATGTAGATGACTAGCCATAACTCTGGGTGACTCTGTGGTGTTCAAATCGAAACCTTCTGGTAGACCAAACCCGACAACGAGGCGTTGGAGTTCCGGGTCACTTGACAGGACAAAATCTAAGTATGGTACTCTGACGTCAGATGGCGTGCCTTTAATGATTTCTGTGTCTCCGCCGTTTAACACCAGCGGTACGATTTCTTTCATCCATGTTGTGCCTTTGATGAAATAAAATAATAAAAAATTATTCCGGGATAAGGCAGCTGCAAAACATATATATATATATATGTGATGTAGATTCGTGTACCCAGTACATACCGTGCACCTTTCCCAAACCATGTATTAAAGTCAATACACTGAACGCAAGGGCATGTTATCATTATGTGAGGCCGACACGCAAGTATACGATATCAGTATACGGAATGTTGTCAGCAGCTTCTTTCTCAGTTACCTCTTACAGTTGCCATGACAACACGAGAAACTGATTATCTCTGGTATAGAAGCAATTCAATTATCTACACATGCTACGTTTTCTACATCCTCTCGTCATGCGCCTAATTATCTGCATTCGTGGCAATTACCTAAATGGAGGCAACACGCATGGCTCTGTGCTTTCATTGCCAATACAAAATCAGCTACAACATACTATTGTCGTCAATCTGATTAAAATCTGATGTAGTGTACGGGCTTTAATTATTTTGGCTATAAACTTATTTTAATTTTATTTTTTATTATTTTTGTTATTAATGCCATTTTATTTCATTATTTTACTTTGATTTTGATTTTGTGATTTTTTTTAATTCTGCCCTACTTACATCTGATCCGACGCCTATGTAAGTCCCGTTCAAATCTCGCGTAAGTAACAGCGAATCACAGCCCCCCTTTTATACAGGCTATCGGTTGCTTACTTTTCAGTGTATACGGGCAA